CAATTTCAATGTTATTCTTGGATGTTTTATACAATTTTTATTTGTTTTTTACAGTACCTTATTTTTTTTCTTAACAACGTACGACTTTGAAATTTCAATTTGTACATCTTTTACCTGACAAATTACTTGCCCATGATTTATCATGCTTACATTCATATTACTAAATTTACTTCAATTTGCTGACACAGTTTTCCAACAAAAATATATATCACAGGCGTCCAACCAATATCGCCACAAACTGATTCATTTTGGGGTATATCTTCACATATGCATATGTGTTTACTTGTACAACTGTCACTTCATACCTTTTTGTATATACATAAAAAGCTTTAGTTTGAGCACTTAATATTCCTAATGGTCTATGAGCAGCATGAGCAACAGTTTTAGCTGTAATCAAGATGTTTGGTAAGTACAAGGCCAATATATTTATACGGTGTAACATAGTTTAAAGTTGTATGTCCAATTCTAAATACCTAGTTGCCATAAGTACAATATCATCGGCAGATAACAGGATTGTAACATTTTTATATTTATTTACATATTACCACTGATAACCTAAAGGTGACGTATTTAATTTTCAAAATGATTGAAAATATTTGTTTTGTTTTTTTTCCAGAAGAAGGCGTATTAAATATATCTTACACACTAGGTTTCGTCTCGAGTGATAAACGAGGTATGAGGTGTCAATATTGTTAATCAAGTTAAAATTTAGATAAAATATTTGTTGCAGAAGACAGTAACTTTTTGACTAGCCTTCTACACATGATTTCAAGTAGAATAGCATAGCGAAATAGCGAAAGCGGAATTCATTGGAGCCTATGTTTTCATTTTCATTTTGTTTCCTTGACAATCAAGTAACAATGTTGTTCTCTGTAACCTCGGTGTTTCTTCTTTTACTCTTAAATAACTCTTTAAGCCTGCCTTTAGGGAATGAACCAATGTGCTCAAAATTTGCTTATGACGAGCAATTGTTAGAAAAAATGATTAGGCAGGAAATAAAGGTAGAATCGATGCAGAAAGATATTAAGAAAACGCAAGAAAATGTTTCATTTACGCTTGAGGAAGTTAAGAAAACTAGTGTAGAGGTGTCTAAAACACTGGAGTCCTTGCAGAACAATGCCACGGAGGTGATGAAAGGAATCATCCGCGACAAAGAAAGAAATGAAGGTAATGTGTTCATCTAATTATAACAGTTTAATTTTTTTATTCTTCCACAAGCTTTTAGGGAAATTTATTACAGCCTTATAACATTGAATTATTCTAAAGACAATTATTCTATTACTTTTTTAATGAATAAAACAGTTCATAGACAAACTCGTTTCAAGTAAACATTGCTACACTAAATATTCAGGACCAAAGTGCCTTACTTTGATTAATAAATGTGTTTTAGGTTAAAAAATTTACTTTGCTTGTGCGGCATAGGATATTTAGTAAATTCATACAAGTCAAATTTTTCAGTATATAATCACATAGCCAAAATTTCAATTCAGATCGTAATTGGAGAAAGTACCGATTCTTTACATTTAGTGTTTCCATTTCTAGAACTACAATCTGATATATGTAGCTAATGACTACAACATTATTCATTGATACAGATTATACCGGGAAGTCAAAAACCGGGGCCGCGAAGCGGGTCCGGGCTTTGGCTTGCCCGGCTATAGACTACACGTGTATATTTAAAAGAAAATCAAATAAAAAATATATATATATATATATGGAATTCTATACCTATCAATGAAATTCTCAGTGTCAGTTCTAGTCGGGCGCCGCCATTTACAATGTAACTCAATGATAAAATGCGGGGTATTCCGATAACGGAACAAATCTCAACTTTTCGGAAAATAATAAACGTCGAGTGTTCCGAGTGAAAACGGAAGCGGTGCATGTAATACCGAATGACAATTTTAAAACGGAAAGAATGAAAGGATTTTTTTAACGACTTCCCCGTTCATAGGCTTTGCCTAATTTCATATTAGCGTTGATTTTTTTATATTGAATCGACTTTACATTTCTTTTACCACATCACTTTATTCACTATTCTTCAAACCGTTCATTTTCAAAATTTGTTTGGACAACTGTCAGTGATACCCACGTAAATTTAGATTTTATAGTTCCGCCAATTGTTAAATGATGTAAATTAATTATATAAAATAATGAATGGTGAATTTCAAATGTTTCATATTTAATGTACTTTGATTTCCATCATATATCATATGAATAATAATACGGGGAAGTCAAAGACCGTGCCCGCGAAGCATGTACACATGTATATTTAAAAGAAAATCAAATAAAAAACAATTAAAAAATATATAGAATTCTATACCTATCAATGAAATTTTCTGTGTCTGTTCTAGTCGGGCGCCGCCATTTACAATGTAACTCAATGATAATAGGCGGGGTATTCCGATAACGGAACAAATCTCAACTTTTCGGATAAATAATAAACGTCGAGTGTTCCGAGTGAAAACGGAAAAGGTGTATGTAATACCGAATGACAATTTCAAAACAGAAAGAATGAAAGGAATTTTTTAACGACTACCCCGTTCATAGGCTTTGCATAATTTCATATTAATATACAAGTACACACTTCTTTCATTATATCTGGTTTAAATTATACTAAGGTCTATGTAAGGATACATTGACGATATCATGAATTATAAGCATACCTTCCACGATTAAAGACTTTAATTTTGTTTTGAATTGTCGTCTCATAGGAGTAAAGCTTAAAATAGGGCCATTAAGATCAAAAGGCCTATAAACATAAAATTTGAAAATCGTACAAAGATCAAGTGAAACACTTAAAACAGAAAACTCTGCAAATGGTGAAAGTAAATATTATCATAATTAAATTGAATATCAGTTTTGTGTGCCATTCATAGCCTGCTTTGAGTAAAAAATGGTGCAACGCTTATCAATTTAGGTAATTTTGCACAATAAAAATGATAATTCTGGAAAAAACGGGGTGAAGGAATGATCGGAAAATCTGTACAAATGTTATTGGTCCAGATCTACATGTACTGGTTAACAAATCTTGGAAAAGTATTGCCAGTTCGTAATGTCAAAAAAACTCAGTGGAGTCCTTTTAATTCCGTTTATCAACCGTGTTTATTTAGTTTGTTTATAACTGTACAGTGTCTTCTCGTAAAATATTTTAAAAATCTATAATTCTCTTAAAAAGAGAAAGCATAATACATGTATTACAAATAATTACAATGCCCTGTGTTCATTGAACTTAACAAAAATGCACAACTGGAAGTGCTCGTTCCAAACATAATCTGAATTATCTTAATACTTTGTCAACATTGTTTAAGAAATAATATCGGCCTCATCGGTATTTATCGGCTATTTAACACCAGCTTGCAGTGTTGATGCGTAGAAATTAATATTTTCGCATCAAAACGACAAAATCGGTGTTAAATAGCCGATAAACACCGAATAAGAATTAATATTAAAACATTTTAGAAACATGATAATTATACTGTTATATATGCGTAATTCCGGATAGTTCTTGAAATCGTTGTTAATGAAAAAATGTCTTCCCTAATTAAACTTAGTATTCAGAATATAATTTTAAGGGGTAAAAAATATCAAAAAGCAGATAAGAATTTTTCCTTACAATGATGAGAAATCCAAATGTCCATATGATGCCAATGCGTTTCTGAACCTGAACCGAGGTGTCCATAAATTTGGTCTGAAATTTCTAACATCTGGTTTGAAGTATACTACATTAGAAATTAAGGGCATGTTGACAAAGATTCTGTTTTATTCTTAACAGAAATACTGAGAAAAACATTTGCAGAACAACGGAATAATTTCACAACTGATATGGAGGAAGGAAAGAAGATGTTAAAAGAACTTTCAGGTAATATAAAAGAATATCAGCACATTAAGGAAGTATTTCCTATTCATAGCTTAATAGTAAAGATGAACGCGACAATAACTTACGTTATCAATGTATATTCAAATAAATAATCATATATACATGTACGAGGGGTTATTCAAAAATTCGTAGACTTTTTAAATTTCTCTTGAACGTCAATGTGTATTGTAATGAAATTTTATCAGCATACATTGTAGAATATTATCAAAACATTGTGAAAAGAACAGTTTACTGTCTCAATAAATAATGATTTTATATTGCTTTTAAATAAGCACATACACGGCACCCGCGCACGGTAGAAAAGCGCAGTAAGTCATCGTATATTTCTTGCTAAAAAACTTAAAAATTTAACGTAGAAAACCCGCTAAACATCGCATGTTTTTTCTATGACATCATTAAAGTAATTCTTTAAAATAATGGACGTCATTTCCGTTAATTTTAGTTGATATCACTAGAAACGCCATACGCCGATATTCTTTACAACGGGAAAATGACGGGCATGCGGAAATGAGAAAATCGCGCGATTATAAATCGATCATAATATTTTGTTGTAATTTGGGAATGACATCTCCAAAAACATTTGATAAAATCAGAAGACGAACGGAGAAAATAAAAATGAAAAGCAGCATTTAGAAACGTATAAATCATATCAAGATATGAATTAGAATTAAGCTGTGTTAATTGTTTCTTCTGATTTATATATGTTTCCTTTCGGAAGCTTGAGGTCAAGCAAGAACATTCGTTTGTGTGGGTATTTTGATTTCATGTTTATTTTCTGATTCTTATTGTATTCATTTTTAAACCAAGTAAATGCAAATCGTACCATTCGTGGCAGATTAATAAACGATTTCTATCTAAATACATGTCTCAAGTATTTTCTCGATCTTTTTTTATTTACAGAAAACGCTAAAAGGCCTTCCGTTGGATTTTTTGCACACAATGTGGTAGATCTAAAGCTTGACAAGACAGACAAAATCATCATATTTACCACAGCAACGACAAATGAAGGATCAGGATATGACAATTCCACTGGGATCTTCACAGCACCTGTCGGGGGATTGTACCAATTTATTGTTAATTATTGTTCAAATCATAAGAATCATGCACCTCTTGGCTTGGTGCTATCAGGAAACGTGATTGTTCGATCGTCCCATTACGATGCAGACTACTATACTTGCAGCTCATTTTCTGCACTTATAAGAGTGAAATCGGAAGAGAAGGTGTGGGTTAAATGTTTGTCTGGCTCATCCGGTTACGCTTTATATCAAGATACTTGGAGGATGAACTCCTTCAGTGGAATTCTTGTCAATAAGTAAACATTCAATATCCTCACGCATGAAATGTAACAGAGGATTTTTATACAGTACACAGTGCGCTGACAGTTTCACAAAAGAGATGTACATGTATATATCCATAATTGATATTATTTCTTAACTACTATATTATTGTTTGTGAATTAAGTAACTATATATTCGTTTATTTAAGTGTCTTAATTCTCACATTTACAAATACATGTATAATACATAAAATTCATATACATTTAAAATACAAATCAACTAAGATTTATAAAAGACATATGTAACCATTATCACATATAATATGACTATTTACATATAAAACAGGTAAGAACTATAATATTCTTGTTAATCTGATTCATATTTAAAAAATTGCTATAGAAGAAATAAAAGAAAAAAATAGATAGAGGATATGTGTTTAGTTCAGTGTAACATCGGAATATATTTCACCGAGTGAGCACCAAAAGGTATATTTCACGAGTGGCGCAGCCACGAGTGAAATATGAACTTTTGGTGTTCACAAGGTGAAATACCGGTATATTTCGATCTTACACTAAACTAAACTAATTTTCTTTTTATTATATGCAAAGAAACGTTTTAAAAAGACATTTAACCTAATACTGAATGAAAAGCGCACCAAATAATGATACAACGTGACGTCATTTACGACGTCACGTCATTAAGTTGGTACCCAGTACTGTGCACGCTGGTATTTCACTGAAACAACGTAAGGGGCTTAAATTCAAAACAGTGAAATTATCAAAGTGGTAATTTCACTGTTTCAAACAGTGAAATTACCAGTTTTATTTCACTGATATATTTCTATAAACCACCGAAAAGCATGTAATAAAAGTTGGATAATTTGGCAATACATACTCAACAACTAATATAAGTTTAGTTCAGTTGATCTCCTTTAGTATTATAATTTATTGGTATATAATAACTCAGTCTCTAGAGAATTGAGTTTTTTGACGCTGCTCGGAGCAACATACAAAGCCTAAGAAAGTTACTTAACATATTATATAGACTATATGTACTATGTTCTGCTTTATATACATGAGACTTTATGCATCATGATGGCCCTCTCTAGCATTGTGTTTGTTGTTTTTTTATATTAATAGATGTTTTCAAAACGGCAAATGTTAAACATTAACTTAATTGGTTTCTTATCATCAGCTATATGTACACGTACTTCTCAATATATCAATATCGTTTCGAAATTGGAAGAGAAAAAGAGGATATTTTATTGTTAAAGCTATATCAATATGAACATTACAACACTTTTTGTTTTCTATGCGATAGTAATGCTTCATGCGGAATAGTGATATGAAATAATAAATCAAACAGATCATTGAAGAAATATTCAATTGATTTGTCAACAGAAAAGATTTCCTTCAAAATAAACGCAAACAATAAATTTGAAGTGGATTGAATCTAGACGGTATCACTATTAATTATCATACTGTAAATAAAGGGAAATACTTAAATAAACATATTGACCTCTGACAAGATAGATGTTTTGTTTTTCAAATGATTTGAGCACAATCTTAGGATATTATGATTATCATAATGTGTGTCCTTTTCACTTGTTAAGGAATGTGTTATGCCCCATATTTGCACGCAAATTCGATTCAAAGGCGATTTTCAAGTAGTTTTGTAATTACAAATATCATACTAGAAATATAGTTCATTGAATTCTTTCAAAGTATGTTTTTACATACCGTATTCTTTCTTCTTTCAAACTTTTCATGTTATAAGCCAATCTCCTACGCAGTGATCTCCCCTTAATCAGTACAGAGATCTCTGCCATCACAAACATTGAAATATCAATATTTGGATATTTATACTTTTTAGCTTTTTAATTTATTTTTCATTATTTTGTATAATTTTGATAATTTTTTGATAAAATATAATGGGCGTAGTTACAAAAAGTTAAAAATAAAACAGAAAGAGAAAAATGACGTCAGATTTTCTATATAACGGTCGATATTTACATTTGAATTTCGACGTTAAGTCATGTGACTTTCATCATCATGTGACGTCTGTGAAGGCAGTGATAACAATTCTGCCAAGGGAGGTAATCAGTGTGAGGAGTTTGGTTATAAGCACGTACTTGAGATTAAAATATTGGTGTTAAAACAGATTATCATTGAAATAATACTTTTAAATATTCTAGATGTCAAAACGTACTTAGTTACAACTACATATTCTGGATTTCTTGTTAATTTTTTCATTGTTTTTAACTAATCAACTGTAATCCTACCCCAAGATAAAACCATTAAGCTGTTTGTTTAAACGAAATATTTCAATTAATTTTTCACAGTTTCAAACAGAAAAATGATTAAGTAATTTCCTAGCGTAAGTTCTCTTTTAAAATGCAATATCTTGTCACCATAAAAGTCTGTGGCTAATAAAAGACAAGGAACCATTTATTACGTTCAGATAACTTCAATAAACACATGTTCAATTTGTAAAATAGTGTTTGTTGGATAATTAAAGGTATATGTGACTTTCTTCATTTACTTTAAAAAAAATTAGTTATAAAGTTATGTAATTTTCATATCTACGGCATGTCTCTCTATACATGTAAATATGTATTCTACTTGAAGTTCATGTTCTCTACATGTTTTTGTATAAATATCATACTATGTTTTGTTAAAAAATTGTATTTCCAATTTTCATCATCCTCATCCTCATCATCATACTTTATCACAGTGTGTGTGTGTGTTTTTTTTTTGTTTTGTTTAAGCATTTAGGCATTTGTAAAGACTTAAGTGACATTCATTTATTAATAAATAATTTTCATGAAAAATGCATTTGTAGCTATTTAATAAAATGAATGAGAAGTATTATTAACAGATAGTATAGACTATTAAACTGAGTACCTTGCTATAAGATTTCAATTAGTTTTACATTTCAAAAAGCTAATTTGGCATTATTGTTGTGAAGTAAAATTGTGTACAAATTAATTAATTATTTGGCGTCCTTTCACACAGAGAGCGAGTAATAAACTTTGTCTCTGCTATAAATTTAAGCACGGATTTAAATCCATAATTAAAGCTAATATTTCTCATTGTGTGTAAAATGTATCATTAAACTTTATATGTTTGTTTTAATAGAACAGATGTCTTCTAACTTCAGTAAACTTAAGTTCAAACTGTATAAAGTGCTTAATGGACGATTCCAGAATAAAACCAGATAATAGCAAGTAATACTATTGAGTCAAGTTAACTGTGTTAGCACTTTCGGCTCGTCCAGATCAAAAAAAAATCCAAACGATAACACACACAAAAAGATTAAAAGATTTTTATACAAATTTCGAGAATGTGAGAAAAGTCACTACCAAAATAATCTTGAATAACGTCTAAGCCACTGTAATCGATCATAGACCTGCATATTGATGTATCAAATGCTAGTTACAAGTGGACATATGTAGCATTGTCTAGAAAATTATCTGTACTGTACATGTTTAACGATACTCGTCTAGCATTATTTTTGATGTATTTTTTTTTACATTGTGATTGCTTGCTGTCGGACAAATCTTAATTATGAGAAGCAAAATTATTGTATTCTTGCTGGTTTATATTAATTCAAATTTCATCATATTGAGTCTTTGAAATTTATAATTCCTGTTTCATGCTTGGATGTTATGTTATGAAAATACAATCAAATTAACTTTTGTATACATTAATTAGTAAACCTTAGTTACTAAACACAATATATTGTTCTTATTTTTACCTGTAAAATAAAAAATCAGTACACCTATTCAGCTCTTCCCCTAATATTTTCAGCGAGTTATTAAAGAGCGGACGTGAAGTGACCTTGACCATGGGTAGCACATCACTTTACATAGTGTTTCGTAATGATGATCCTTTGTGTCAAATATAAATTGAAAGTTTTAAGCAGTTAAAAAAGATATCGTTCGCCCACATGTCCCAGGTCATCTCATTAACTTTTCAACAGAATAAAAGTTACCGACAGACACACTAATGCCTTGTCCACATGGGTAAATGACAAAATGTGTTTAATATAGTCTTTGAAATCATTAATGAAATTACTATAATAATCTAATTTAAGCTAATTCTGTCTCAAGTTATTGATCTGACAACCAGTTCATTGTTGCCAAAACCTTATTACATTGGTCATCTACTGGCCATGGACTATATCCTTACTAACTTTACCAAACGTAGGCTTATCATTTCTCAAGTTATTGATCGGACAAGGATTATATACATAGTGTCGATGTAAACTTTACAGTTGATTGAAGATTATAAAGGATCGTAGGCAATAATCCACAAAGTTATTATTATATTCATCATATATTCCATTTGAAGGTATTGATTCGACAAGAATAACATGGACACATACAAAACTCACCCTTACTTTTCAAATTCTAAATGTGCAAATAATGTAAAACATAAGCGACTACTACATATTTCTAGAAGAATTTATTTTCTGATTTACAATGGTTCATATTGCTTAAGACTTTACTCTAGAAGTCACCATATGTGTAGTGGTATAAAATGAAAAGTGGTGTGCAAGACAATAAAAGATGAAATTTCATTTGTATTATTTTTGCATTATTATACCAAATAATGGGATACCAGTATATGTAATATGGATATGTCAATGTAGTACATGTATGCTCAAATAGCCATCCTGAAATAATGAGTAACATAGTCTTGATTCCTTAAATTTTAAAGCATTTTTTTTTTCGCTCATGAAACAAACTGAAGCGACAAACTCAAATGTGAAAAATACAAATTGCAGGAGCTTTTTCAAAACTGAGCTTAATTATACAATTATAAAGTACTATAAGTATTGAAAGAATTTTGAATTATAAATTAACATACACATGTATAAGCATCTACATTATATTATTAATAGTCTAGATTTAAATTCACCATCAACACAATTTAGCTTTTGACAACTCTGTCAAAATTATATCACACAGGTTATAAAACTAGTTTATGAAACAAGTATTTCGATCTGGATCTTGTATTTAGCTCAAATGGATTTTTGCTAGCCTTGGGGGTTTAAAATCTTTTTCTGTGTTCTCATTCAAATTCTACAAATTTCATTAGTCAATGTACATTATGTGGCAGTTTCTGACTAAGCTTAGAGAATATCTTTATAACCCCAGGAACTGGTTTGCAAATGAAGTGATAAGTGTGATCTGGTATAATGAGGTACATCAGTGCCATATACAAGTTTATAGAACAGAACAGAACAGAAATTTTATTTGAATCTAACTTGAACATTTACAGTTCATCGTTACATACAACAAATTTTACATACACATAGTAATAATGTAATTATCATATTATAATCATGCAAACAACTTCACATATTTCATCAGATCATTACAAAGAATTTAATTCATTTGTTCTTAATTTAAAAGCATTTCTGCAAAACAGAGCCAATTTGTTTAAGACCTTTACATTTGTAGAATTCAACAATTGTGTGAGTTTGAGCATACTCGGGTGTCTATGATGATATCTAGGAATATACTGATTTCTAAGTAAAGCATACATTGGACATATTAAAATAAAATGGTATTCGTCTTCAATATCATTACATTGGCACAGTGTACAATTTCTATGGTTTCTATCTATATTTCTATGTCTACCAGTTTCAATATGTAGATCATGTGAAGACAAACGTATTTTAGCTAAAACATTTCTTAAACTACGACATTTCATTTTATTTATATATTCGGACATTTCAAAATCTGGCTTTAATTCTTTAAATAAAAACAAAGATGACTTTGAACAAATATCTTGTCTCCAATTATTTATATACATGTCAATAATTCTAGTACGAAAAATAGGAACAAACATATTAATATTTACCGAAGAAGGATACATCCATACTTCATGAAAACCAGTGTTTTGTAGTAAATCTCGGACTTTAGATGCCCAGTTCACAAAGTTACAATTTTCAGCTTCATATCTTAAAGTGTTCATTGTGCTTGATAAAATACAGTTATAATCCTTTTCAACATACAACTTTAGGAAATATTTAACAATTCTAACTTGTCTAACTACATATAATGGATATCTACCCAATTCACCATATAATGCAGAATTAGCAGTAGACATGAATTTTCTATGTATTCGTTCAATATTTTCCGCTTTTTCAAACCCCCATACTTCACAAGAGTAATTCAATATAGATGCAACATATGAATCAAATAAATTTAACATAATATTTACAGGAACTTCAATGCTTTTTGTAATACTAAATAACGAGCCCATAGCTTTAAGAGCTTTATCAGCTAATGTTTTTGTTGCTGTCTTAAAAGATCCACCACTAGATAACACAATACCTAAGTAATTAAAACTTGAAACAAATTCCAATTCTTCCCCGTCGTAATAAATATGTTCATTTACATTGGCCATTCCACCTCTTTTAAATACAAGAACCTTCGTTTTATTAACATTTACTTTTAATTGCCATTTATTACGATAGTCTTTTAAATTATGTAATGAAGTTTGAAGCCCATGCGCCGTCTCTGAGAAAATGACTGCATCGTCGGCAAAAAGTAGTAGGTATATAGAAAGTTGATCTAATGTAAAACAAGAACTATCATCTTTTTGTAAAAACAACTCAATATCATTTACGAGTAATGAGAAAAAGTATCGGAGAAATTATCTCCCCTTGCAATAATCCAACATCACATTTGAAAAAATCAGACAATGAATCCATATGACGTACACATAATTTAACATCTTCATACAGAGACCTTATTAC